TTCCTGTTGTCCTGGGCCAACCCTGGCTTGACTACCAGAAATGATGAAACTGTATTAGCACAAAACTCTGCCCAGGTTAGTATTTTGTGCTTCTTAGCAGAAGCGATGCAGCCCACTGCATTGTAAGGGACTTCCCTTGTCTGGAGAGAAGGTTCAATCAGGTTACCTTTTGCTTTGTCAGTCTCCAGTATTGCCTGCAAATAGAGAGGGTAGTTGTGTTAAAAGAATGCATTTCAGATAATATGAGTCTTCGCATGGCTGGATTTTTCTTCCCTGGCTGATTCTTTGTCAAGCATTAAAATGACAAGAGAAGTCTGAGCTGTGCAAGTCTTACCTACCAACACGAAGAGCAGTGTTCTTGAAGAGTCTACCTATTTCAAGAGCTACTCTTCAGTGCCGGAGTGATGATTTATTTGCAGGGGCAGGTTTGTATCGTGGCTGGTTTTGTTTATTTTAAAGACTGCTTGCAAGACAAGTTGGACTGCAAGCCAGATGGAAATACCAGGGCACAGTACGTAACATTCTTTTGTTACATAAATCAAAAACCACCTTACTTAAAATGTATCAGCAGAGATTCAAGTAATATAATACTTCAAGATGCTCTTTTGACAGTTTACTTCAAGCTGTTGCAGGGCACCCTATCCGTGGGAACACAGGCAGGTACCTGGAATTGGACAGTGCAGATGTTGCAGGGCACATCCTGGTGTTCTCTGGACCAGCTTCCTCAGCTGCTGGTGTCACTGCTCCGTGCAGTGACAGAGAGCCACGGGTGGCTTTGCCTGCCAGCCAGGCATTAGCTGACAGCTTCTGCATGCATACCCGGTGCAGAGGAGTCTGCAGCAAGGCCTGCCTGTTCACCTGCACACAGCCAAGAGAGAAATGCATGGTCTGGTTTGCTGGTGGTCCTGGAATCTCTGGGCCCCCAGAGGGGAACTGAAGTTTGACTTGCCTGAGGACAACTGAAAGCTAATGGTAGTGCTGCCGTATGACCCGAGTTTGGCTTGTAGGCATGCTGAGGGATAAAGGCTTCCTCCAGAGCCACTCCTGCACTCGGAGTTAGTCCCAGTGTAGCTATTTAGAGGATGAGGGGGTGTCATTTCTTTCTTGGAATAGTTACCTTGATGCAATCACAGTGCAGACACTGTGATAATATTACAGTATATTTTTTTTCTGCATGGGCATGGCTGATTATAAAGCACGTTTTCTATTGCTTTAGCTGTATTTACACAAGGGAATTTTGTTATCTTTACTGTACCAAGACAGTTACAGCAGCACAAGTGGGTGAATACAGACCCATGGATGCTACTGCTGTTTGTAACTATGGTAGACCTCTCTCCTAAGCTGCCTTCATGTGGATGGGAACACATCCCTGGTAGTGGCTAGTGTCTAGCTTGTGTCACTGGGATCAGTGGGTGCCACCAGGACTCAGGGGTAGGGATTTTGTAAGCTCAGGCAGGTTCCCTTATCATCTCCCACTTCCACAGGGGAACTGGGAGGCACTGGTCCCTAGGCAGACGCTGCACAGAGACCATAGCTGTGTGTTGCCATGGGAATAGCAGGGAGAGAGCTGGTCAGTTTCAGCTTCAGCAGCTGACTGAATTTCTTCCACCTCACTCCAGTAATGCAAAATAAGGACTTTGCCTCAGGCGAGGGGCAGGCAGGCAGCACATGGGCAGTGGTCATGCCTAGCCCCTCTTCTCCATTTGCTTTCCTAATCTGGGGTGGTGGGATAAGTGTGCCAAGGCTGAGGGTGATGGAAGCTGCTGTCAGTGCTCAGTAATCAAACTGTTTTGCAGGCTGATTTCATTTCAGTGCTTCAGGGTGTATGGGCAGTGCAGGAGGGAGGAAGGGAGGCAGCAATCTGTCTCTTTCCAACTCTCTTTTTGTTGGAGAGGCCTCAGGTGAGGAGTGGACATCCTTCCAGTGAATTCTGAGGACCAGTGCTGGGGCTGTCTGCCTGCAGCAGGGTAGCTAGTGGGCTCAGTCTCGGGGAATTTGCAATTTTTAAGAACTTGTGTCATTGTCTTATCACCATTTCAGACATGGCCAAGGAAAATATCCTTTATCTTCCTTTCAAATCCATTGCTGGGAGTAAGAGTAGGTTTTAGGGTCGAGGTCAGGACAGGAAATAACAGAGGATGATGTAATGCCAAACCTATTCAAGTATAACATACCGGTACAACTCCAGCATTGTGTGACAGCGTGCCACTACATGGCTGTGCATGGTACACTGCAGAGTGAACTTTTGTAATTCCCCTGAAGGGATTACTCCTTTCCTTTTAAAACAGACCAGTATGTGGCATGTTGGGAATTCAGGGTTTCAGTCATTTCCCCTCTAACAACCATAGTTTGAGAGAACCGATGTTAGTAAGTTTTAAAAATACTTATAAGACCATTTGCAGTGTTCATCCAGGGTGAACTAATTAATTGCTAATGCCAGGTACGTGAATTTTCTTTTTCGTGGATGCTTTAATTGTATGGTGTGACTGTGTTACTGCTGCTTAGAAAACATAACACCAAGTGTGAAGGCAAAGCTAGGAGCACTTGGCAGACGAGCTGCAGCTTGGCTCTTGCACCATTAGGCTAAAAATATTGCAGCATTGAAACATGCTGCATTCGGACAGATGCTGCAGCAAACAGCATGCAATTTTTTTCCGCACCTATCCAAAAGAGCAGAAAGCTGCTAACAATCTTGATCATCTCCCTTAAGCTTAATATAGTTACCGCTTGGTTACATCCTCACAAGCACCTTTAAAAAAAGGTGCTCGGTAGAGCCTAGTCTCTTCTGAACTTGACAGCAGAGTTTAAGAGCCTTGAGAAGGAAAATAGTGTGGTGGGCTCAAAATTAACTTTATGGCCCTCACTGACTATTGTCCTAGGGTGTTATTTACACAGCATTGATATTATTGTTGCTATTGTTGTTATTATTGTTGTTACTATCTCCTTGTCATCAGTAGTGACTGTGCTCACCTGGGGCCAAGTAGATGTTGTGACGTTCCAAGCACAGCATGAGCAGGGAGGAATAAATGCTTTGTGCTGGAGGTGGTTAGAGCCTCTCTAGGAAAGGGGAAAGACATCAGGTGGAGGAAGAGGTATCATGCAAGCAAAGTGATGACAGCTCTACAATGCATTGGTTTGTTTCTGTGGAAGGGTCAGATAGCTTTAGCTAGCTAAAGGAAAAGAAATTGGAAGGGGTAAGTGGTTGGTGGAGAGAAGCCTGGAGACAAAAAAAAAGCATGAAGAGACTGAGGTGAAGACGATGAGTTGCTCAGAGGTCTCTGATTCTCACTCTCCCCAGTCACCTAACTACTTTTGTAATAAAACTAAAACATCTACTTTATGATTCACTGAAGCTCTTCCTTCTGACTCCGTAACTTCTGAAAATTGAAAGGTTAATGAACCCAGCAGTGCCCAGACACCCTCTGTGTGAGGGGCTGAATTCTGTCTGGGCTGGGAATGATCTTAATAAGTTCAGTCCAGTTATTTTCCTCTTAGGTGTCTTAATATATTTCCAGAGCTGTGTAGTGTCTTCTGTGCTTTTCTTTCCCTCCCTCACATGTATGCATGTTACTTTGCATAGACTTCTTGTCAATGAACTTTCAGCAGAAAATCATCAAGAGAGCCAGCCCTGTGACAGTGTGTAATTATCAGACAAAACACAGGCCTCAGCACAGAACTGAGTGAAGGAACTTTCCTGCATTTTTTTAAAAAGACTTGTAGTTATGATGACTTTTCAACAGGACATGGGGAAACATGTTGCTTAAATGAGAATTACAGCCACTCAAAGGTTATCATGTAGATGTTCCTTTAAAGAAACAACCCCAAAGCAACCAAATAAAAGCCCCACTTCTTTGAGATTGACATCTAAAACCAGAACGTGCAGTTTTGTTCCAGAAAAGTGAGATATTCTTGACATCTTTGAGGGACAAGAAAATATGGGCCACAGATCTGCAGCCTGAGTTTTAGAAGTAAAATAAGGCTTTTGGCTCCCCCTGAAATCAGTGACAGGTAGAGAGTGTTACAAAGCTTATTGAAAAAAGATACAGTGGATTTTCACTGTTAAACAGTGCTTTCAAAATTGGAATACTTTTCAGATCACACTCCTAAGTTCTGTTTTTCCTCTGTCATCACTGGAGATCAAGCCTATCTTTTAGGATCTATGCACTTGCAATCCCATCTTCATCTGCCTTCCCTGCCACAAATAGGAGTTTGGTTTCAGTGAAGAGCTGAATCGGTAATTTTCTCCCCTTCCGTGTCTTGCGCAGCTGCAGAGATGCTGTAAAAGCAAGGACCATATTCCTCCAGATCTTGTTTGGACAGAACTTAAACGACTCAAAGAGTTTAAACTTCTTTAAAGCTTTGCAGCTCACTTTTTCAAATGTCAGAGGAAGTGCAGTAAATAGAAATCTGAGACCTTTTTTTACTTGTTTAAAAGGAGGGGCAAATTTCAGGTAGGAAGGAGCATGAACCTGCATCTACTTGCTCCAACAAGGTCTCCTAGGGCAAATGGCCTCTGAAAAGAAAATGTTCCTTTTCCTTTAATTTTCCAAAACCAACTTTCACACTGCATGAGTGTCAGAGCAGATGGGAGCCATGAAATTATGTGAAACAGATCAGAGGAAAATGAGACATGGAAGATTTAGTTATTTTGAGTAGCCAGGATAAGTTCCTTGTAAATGTAGTTTTAAATTCAGCTTTTGGTAAGTGGTGCGCTTATAAGTACTGGGGTCATTTAAACTTCTCTTAAGTAAACCAAGTTGTTCTTGTTTGTTTTACAACTTAAAGGACAAAAAACTCAAAGAACAAGAAAAGAAAGGGGAGATTCTTCACCGTCAGCTCCCAAAGAAAACTGAGAAAAGTCCAGTTTCTTATAGACAGCCTTCTTCCTGTCTTATCTCACAGATACAGAACACCAAGGCTCTGCTGAAGGACAGGAAAGTCACCAAGGCTGGAGGTCCAGAGAAAGGTCAGTGGGAGGAATACCAGTGGTGTGTGCATGTGCATGTGTGTTAATAATGAGGGCATCTTGTGTCTTCTGTGTGTGCTAGTAAATAGTCCTGGGCTTGCATTCGTTGTCTGCTCTGGAGGTGGTGTGTGAGAGAGGACTGGATAATGTAGTCAAACATTGAATGAAACGTCCTGAGAAAACCATGACAATGTTCAGCAGTCATGCGTCCTCACTTTTACTTCTCTTTTGATTTGACAGAATTCCCACAGTGCTTTAAAAAAGCTTTCGTTCCCTATTTATACATACTTAAACATAATCATGCACTTCATGCTCGCACTTTGAAAGCATCAACACCCACCCCAGATCACTGACAAACCAAAGCCGGTAGACAGCCTTCCGCCTGCCAGCAAATGGATTTTGCTAAGAGGGGACTAATGGGCAACATGGGAAAAAATCCTGACCCGGAGGAAAGTTCTGGTAATGGTGGCATCCCTGGGAGAAGCAGTGGGCAGCAACTGATGGTGGAGGGAGGGGAAGTAGGAAGCCAAGAGGAAATACAAGTGGGACTGCCAACTCCAGCAAATTTCAGATAGCAAAAGGAGGGGGAAAAGTATTAGCAGAGCAAGGAAAAGATGAGACAGCCAGAGGAGAGCAGAGCATTAATCACACAGGGTAGGAGGCAGCCTGGGAGAGGTGGGTGAGAGCTGCTCACTAAAGGAAGCAGAAGACAGGAGTGAAGGAAAAGGAGAGTCAGCAAGGAAAACAGGGTGTTGGTAGTGCACGTGTGGACAGGAGACATTGAGGAGGAGGAAGGTGATGCAGCTGCCTGTTAAATGAAGGAACTTAACAAGGGGAGATCACTACAGAGCAGAGGGGAGAAATATAACTATGTGAAACATGTGCTGTTTACTGAGAGGTATGAGGGTGTTATTTAGAATGGTGGCTTATTATGGTTTTGTGGTCTATCCTGTGATTTTATCATTTGACATATTCTACCTTAAAAAAAATCAAAATGATGTTCATCTGGCAGCACAGACACAATGTGAGACAATGTGAGTGATTTCATCCCGTACCTCTGTTGAGGTCTCAACTCCTGCCGAGACCATCCCTTTCAAAAGAAATAGGTGTGAGATTTGTGGCTGTGACCTGGGGCCTGGCATACCTAAATTATTTTGTGTCCCTTTTAGGTGGTTTGAGACTGAGGGAACTCATGAACAGCGATTCACTGCCAGTCCGCTGTTCTTTCAATTAGGGGAACCTAGCAAAGCGGGCTCTTTGGATAGCTTTCCATGAAGGCAGCAAAGTGTGTTATCTTGTGACTAGCTTGGCATAAGGGAGTGCCAGCATCCTGTAGAAACCGAACAGATCTCCATGAGCTGTTTTATTTTACTGGGCCAAATCCTACCAAGCTTGTTCCATTTATATTTGGTTCTTGCTGATTCTCACTGAAGTTGAGGCAGCAAATCTGTTCCAACTGTAATGGCCTGAATCTGGCTGGTGCAGCTACTCCATATTTACATGTGTGAAACCAAGAACAGATTTTGTTCCAGAATGCAAGTAAAGACATTAGGTATTAACTCACTATTGTCGCATGTGTCTCTAGGTATGTCAAGGAATACAGTACTCAGACCCAGTTAAAGCCATGCAAAGTTGTGCTAAGAAAGGAGAAATGTGAGATTTCTCAGACATGGCCCCAGAGGATATAATTAACACAAGCAGCTGAAGACATCTGTGGTTTTCCATTTCATGTCTTTGTCTTACTCATTTTAAGCAGTCTTCCTGCCTTTGAGGAAAGTGGCAGATAAATTACCCATGCAACAACAACACAAGTATCAAATAAGAGTCAGGGAATTAGGTTCTGAGTATATCCCTAAACCCATTTGTTTTAACTAGTGCATTTGTCACACTCTTCCAGAATTTGTTAAGGTGACATTGGACACTGTCTGCCATAAGGCAGAGAAGGCCAGTGGTATTGAATGCAATTTGCTATTCTGATTCCTTTTCTGATTGCTTTACAGATTCCAGCAGTGGGGTAAGCCCTTTCCATGAACCCCTGGCAACCAAGGCAGGCTGCATCACTTCCAGCTCCCTGGAGTACCTCGAAGTCCAGCAGCCACCTCCCAGAACCCCTCGGCTCCCCAAGAGGCAGGAGTCTCCACAGCAGGAGACAGCCCGGAACGGAGGCCGGGCAAAGGACTCTCCTCTCATACTGAATATTGTGCACTCCTTTGAGTCGGTTGACAGAGAGGACCAAATAGACCAGGTTTCCCCTTCTCATCAGTACAGAATTTTAGGCTCACCAATGAATTTCCCTTACAAAAGCTCAAGTGAAAGGACACTGTCCCCGCTTTTTCAGCCAGGGAGTACGTCCCCTATCCACCCCACCCAAGTCTCGTTCACATATGAAGAAAAAGCGTATCCGGCGAAGGAAGAAGCAGTGTCCCCTACCCAGCTGGTTTCCAGCAACCCCTTGGGCAGCCCTAACTGTGTTAAAAGCAGAGGCAGATTCCCCATGATGGGGATCGGACAGATGCTGCGGAAGAGGAACCAGACGATGCAGTCGGCGAGCGACAAGCCGCTGGAAGCAAGGATGCCTCAGCTGCAGCAGATGAGCCCCACGCAGATTTCTTTCAATGCAGCAGATGCCGTCAGCGGCCAGTGTTAGTCTGACATCCCAGGATTTGCACTGCTCTTCTCTGGGACATAACCTTTTTTGCTTTTAAAAAGAAAGGAAAGTCACAGGCGTGTTGTTCTCACCACGTAATACGCTACGGTGGTGCAACGTAGAAAATCAGAGGGCTACCCGTAAGGAAGGCGTTCTCCTGTATATTTAAGCTGAAAGAAAAGGGCTCTGCTTATGTCGTTAAGAAATATTAGAATTTGGTACCTGACTGTACACTAAAATATGTATTGAAAGAGCTATGTGAGTATGTATTTTCACTGCTCTCACTTAGTATTGCAGAAAGGTTGAGTGGAAGAGCAGTGAGCATTAGCAGTTTGATTCATCAAGGTAATCTGTGTGGTGCCATGAATGCTGGTCTCATCCAGGGTGTGTGGTAAGACTGCCCGTGCTCTATCTGCCTGTAGCACACAGTACATGGTACTGCTACAGGCATTGTTCATGTGGCTAGGCAGGAGGAAAAATTCAAGATGCTGTGTCCAGAGTCATCTTGCTAACAAGTACTGCCAGGAAGATGAAGTTGGTAGAAGCTTGAATAAAGACACAAGTGATCTAAACATTCAGAAAAAGTGGGAGGATTGGAAGTCAAAGCAGATTTTACAGTTAATCACATGAAGTAGCGAGTAATGGAATAAATTTTTTCCTAAAGAAAATGATGATTTAATGATGCCACTCAGAAGTAACATGACTATTCAAAACCAAGTTTCATCACATGGAAATTCACCGTGCTAGAGGCCTGGTCCTTTCATATGATGGGTCTATAAGCAGATGCTTCAAACAGTAATCCAGACTGTAACATGCTGTGTTTAAACAATCCAGTCACCTCCAGGTTTTGCAGCCATACTCGTTCCATGGCACACCTATGTGCAGGATTGCGTGAGCCAATTACAGCAAGGCAGCACTGGACACACCTGGAAGCTCTTCTGTGAGACTGCAGTGAATGAAAAAGGCTGATAAAGGACACATGAGCCTGTGCCATTGCTGTTTTATACTGCAAGATTGGTAATGCAGTAGTTACCAAAAATTCAGTAGTATTATGAATGGTGAAGATTAACTTTCTTAAAAGGCACCATGTTCTGCATACCCGTCTTGTTTTTCTAAGTAAATGATACATCTGAGAGGTTGGCAACATTTTTTTTGTTCTGTTTTTGTCTTCAAACCATTTCCTATAAATTAGAACGTTTAGCCAAAGACTACTCTTTTCTTTCATCTGTAGAGTGCTTGTGTATGTGTTTGTGTGTAGGAAAAGTCTCAACAAAGCTTGTTCCAGGCTGGTTCCCAGGTGGGCAGCCCTGTCCCATGTGTGCCCCACTGCTGTCCAGCCACCTATTGTCATTTCAAAACCCAAACAGCAGAGGTGTTTTTGTCTTCTTGGGGTTGTTGTTGGAAGGTGGGGGTTTTGCCTCGAGACCATCAGTAGGAATCAAGCTCTATTTTCATCAATATTTTTGCAAACAGTTTTGTGGCCCCTTGGTTTGGTGTCTGTGCAAATGTTGAGCGTTAGCCCCTGGAGAACCTTTCCTAACAGTTTCATGAGAGAGACACACAGGGTCTCGGGGATGAGGGCCAGCCAAGGCAGCAGAGAAGGTCCCCAGCAGAGCCCATAGCTGACCACATGTTCCCAGTTCTCAGCATAGCACAGGCCTTACACAAAAATCTACAAGAAAATATGTGGACGTTAATCCCAATCCTGACAGAACAGATAACTGAACTGTTCGGTGTCGTGAATGCTTGCTGGCAAAACCAGCAGAGTGTGAATGCCCAGGGTGCCCTTCTCATCCCTGCAGATGGGACCTTCACCTCGGCACTACACCTGCCCACAAGCTCTGTATGGAGGAGTCCATACATGCCTGGTATTCTTCAGTGTTGTGAGGACATCCATCTCTGAGGTAGTTAAGCTACCTGTAAAATAAAACACATAACAATCCCAATGTGGTAAGAAAGACAGCTCTGAAATAATTTTGCTCATTTTCAGGCTGAAAAATGCCATCTTCTGTTTATATAGAGGACCTGCGCATCCCAGGAGTCCATTTTAGCTCTTCCTGTCATTTAAAAACATCGCAGCGTTTTCTTTTTCTTCATGCTAAGAACATGTTTGTGCTGCAAAGGTAGCGAGCGGGGGCCACTGAAATCCCGTGTCTGCATGCGTGGTACTTGCATACCTGAACAGATGCCAGATACTGACTTGAATTACAAACTCAGGTTTATTTGGAACCCAATAAAAGGTTGGGGGAGGCAGGACAGAGACATGTATTTTTTGTGAAAACCCAGTAAATATGTGTAAGAATCAGAATGAAAACAGAAATGTTGAATCTTTTATTATATTTATAGAGAATATATGAGTACAACACTGCTAAAAACAAACCATGTATCCAGCTTAGACAGTAGCTATGTACAGTCAAACTGCAATGACCACAGAAGGGACTTATGAAATACAGTAGTGAAAACTCCAAGGGAAATAATTGTATTTGTTATCATTATTAAATATATGTACTTTTTGAACAAGATTGCCATGGACTGCTGACTTTCTTTGCCAGGTTACAATGTAGAAAGGGTTATTTAAAACAACCAGCAAAATGGTGGGGTGACAAGAGGATTACCAGCACCTTTGCCTTCACCCATCAAAGACTATCCTTTGAATCTGGCTGCTGACTTGTGTATAAACTCTGAGTGAGCTAAAAGCCATGAGGTGAGATTTTCCCTGCTTAGTATTAGCTCTGTACAAGTTGGGCATCTGGTCTCTGGTCATTATCCAAGCTCTGTTTGTCACCAGTGGAGGCTGGTATGGATCTGCAGTTCTTCCCACCTTAAAACAGAGGTCCAAAATGAAGGGACTGAATTGCTCCTCAACAACACCTAGTTGTGTCCAGATACAAGGGAAGGAGTAGGGTTGGCCAGTTCAGATGAGAATCCAGCTTTTAGGCAGCCATAGGAAGTCACCCTGATATAAACAAAAGCATTTGCTGATCAGTTTTCTGCACCTCCGGAGTTAATGTCTCCAAGTTGTAGGACTAGTCTACATTTGTTAAGCTTAGCAGAGCCATGCAAACTGTTGATCAGCCTTCCGGCTTCAGTTAGAGTATTTCTGGTGCTGTTGATCCCACAGTTCTTATGAGTACTGTTTCTTCCTCCTCCTACCTTCGTACAAATCTGTTTCCTGGAACAACTGACATAAAGACCTCCGAAATCAGCTGAGGTCTTTCGCTGGTGTTTGCGGTAGGCTTGACCCTGAGCCCGTAATGAACCTGCTTGATAGACCTGAACATAAACTTCAGGTTGTGCATTGGGGAAAAAAGCGCTGCTGATCTGTGGATGCAAGATGGAAGCACCATGGCTTTATGGGGCCTTTCTGAAGTGCTGTTTTCATACAGAACCTAGTGGAGTCAATGGAGCAGCTGTGAAGCACTTAGAGAGAGGTCTGCAAACTAACTGATTGCTGAACAGGAGTTCAGGATCCATAGTCTAAAGTCATTTTGTTCGGACTCTGCTGCCTGGAAAAATAGGTGTCAAATTTATTCAGCAAGACAGCACGTATCAGCATCTATTACTAAAGGTGTTTGTTGGTCTTTGTACTTGTCCTGTAAATGGGCTGATAAATATTAAAATTGCCAAGTATCCAGGTTCACAAATGCCAAAAGTAATTATCAGTCACTTTCATAATTTTGCACTTGACACCACTTGATCTCTGCAACAAAATCCCTTAGTGCGTAGCTGCAAAAAGGTTGGGTCAGATTTGCAGGAGAAGTTTATGTCTCCAGTGTACCAGTAAGATGTCTGCCACTCCCTGGAGACAGTCCAGCACAAATCTGCCCAGGCCAGCAATGTGACCGTGGTTAATGTACGGAAGGAGGAAAAAGAGAGCAGAGAAGACCCAGTGGTCAGCAGAGCTTTGCTGTACTGCTGGCTGGGTCGACTGTGTCAATGGCAGAGCATGAGGCTTGTGGGCAAACTCTCAGGGTGTCACTGGGTCTAGGGCTGCTGCTTGTGGTAAGGACTTTCAGGATGGTTCAAATACACCCCTTCCACAGGTAGTGTGAGGAAAAGCTCCAACCCAAGACAAAGCTGCCCCTTTCTTTGCTCATTTGTAATTAAGTTTTAAACTTCATCGTTTGAAGCACCCTAAGCTCATAAGGGCCTTGCTTATCAAGAAATGAGCAGAAATTTCAGGGATGCTATTGCTGTGTGCGATAATCTGGAGCTTGCCTGCCTCTTCCCTGCTTTTTTAATATTCAGTGGTCAGCTTTCTCTTGTGTTTCCCCCTCCACATAGCTTCCCTGGAGCATAACAAAACTGCTGGGTACAACACCGTGGCCTGTTTTTCCTATTAAAAAGTTATCATAGCTCTGTGGACTGAGAGCTACAAATCACTCGTGCAGAAATGCAACCGTGTGGCAAATTCATTACTAGGTGTGACTCCTACAGTCTTTCAGCAGGCTCCCTGCCTCCTGCTTATGCAACTTGTTTGCATTGGAGGTGGTCTCAAGCAGGAATAGCATGGGGGAATACCAGGAGAGGCTTCAACTTCATGTCATTGCTTCTCATCGAGAGAAACGTGCTCCCTCAGAAGTGAGTGAGTGAGTGAGTGAGTGAGTGAGTTATTTGCAGCCCGTTTTCCATCAGAGGAGCTGCTTGAGCATTGGTTTCTAAGACAAGTACCTTGGCATGGCTTGTGTTTCCAGGGACACGTTTGCATTGCCTGTAATACTTCTTTCACAAAGATGGCTTGCAGATGTATGTAGGGGGAGACAGGTGAAATACTCTTGAGTCTTTTCAATGTTTAGTATCAAAAGAAGCCTGTAAGGTGATGCTTTCTTTTATTGGGGTACGGGCAATTAGCTGTTGCTAGAGACAAAAGGTGTCAGGATAGAGCCTAGAGTAGCATTGGGACTTCCCCTGAGCATCTCTGCTCTCTGCATGGTTATGTCAGGGCCCTGGAAAGCCCGAGAGAGAAATAAGAAGAATTTTACTGGTTAAGGGTGAGGTGC